AATGTCCCAAAGGACTCGGCCCTAGGCTATGCCCCGTGGCACTGCGCACCCCACGGCACCACGATGCCTGGACGGGCCAGGGAAGCCCAGAATCTCTGGTTCCACTTCATCAGGCCCCACCATCTGGCTCTGCACACAGGTCTGCATCTCAACAGTTCATGGGTGTAACAGCCGAGCTAGGCCCATTGGACCTAGCTACAGCCGCGGTACCGCGTCCCGGGGTGGAACGGGGCGTGGGTAAAGAGAAAAATAAGGAGTAAAAAAAAAAAACAAGGAAATAAGGCAGCAAGAACTCGAAAATAACAGAAGATGCCTGACTCACACGGGCCCGCGCTCGGATTCCCCCTCTCCAGCAAAACTGAGGGGGATAGTCCCGGGGGACCCTCAACCCCTCAGCCCTTCTGATGCTCCGCCATTCCCTCGCTGCCACCTGCTGGCCTCGAACCCCGTACCTCCGCCGTGTGAGTCTGGTACCGTAACCTATAGGGCTAAGCCCACGCCTAGTACCAGCTCATGCGGAATCCTATATACAGTGGTGTACACACCCCCTGTGCCTAGGAATTAGCCCGACCCTTTTTCCTCCCTTCAACTGGCGTGCGGTCACTAGGCCCCCGTGCCGCGGCTATCTCGTGCCCTACCTCGTACGTCGGCCTACCAATGATCAACCATTCCTAGTAGAAGCGCCCTCTATCCCTAACAACAAAAATCAGGCCGGCCGACGAAATCGGCCATTTAATCAAAATAGAAGGATCGCACGCGCGCCTTAATCCCGCGCGCCCACACCCGCTCTACTCTGATCAAACACCCCACTAGTGCAACCCAACAACTTAGTCGCGACTCGCACGGTACATTTCGACCTTTACACCTACTTCCTATTATTTGCAAATACTAGGGCGGATACCCTTGTCAGGGTATTCGCGCCGACAGCTTACCGGACCATATTAAGCGACGTCCCCGTCGCTCCGCAAAATCGAAAAGCTATAAATCCATCCTCACACCAAATGCTGACGAGAAAGGAACCAATCCGATTAGCCGACAGACTCCGGGTTGAGGCCTCCGACAATCCAAGCCCTTATAACTATATGCCGCCAAGGTTCCAACCTGGGTCTCCATTGCCCTGACACTAGGACGCCGGTGTACTGGACATACGTACTACAGCAAGTCTCAGCGGCTCCTCTTACCCGTCCTCTTCCCCTTGTCCTAGACAACCACCGGCTTCTCGTTAGGTGTCCTTGGTCTCTACCCTGTGAGCAGGACTTCGACCAAGGACTCGGGCCCTAACCAAGACCTGAGCCTGCAGTCTAGTACAGGGAGGTTAGGTCTCCATCATGGCCCACCGTAGTCTGGGTGATCGGGCCAGGTCTACGGCCCACCGCGTTTGTTAGTCTAGCGGTAGTGCCCTCCTAGGTTGCGCCACGATAGGCTTTTTCTCCTGATAAGCATTCAATCAGGACTCCAAAGAAGACTCGACTCGACTCGACTCCTATCCCACGCCGGTCCGCATGAGTAAAACCCTCTTAGGTGGCCACACCCCTTTAAGTCTTTACCCCGTTGGCGCGACGTAGGCCCGCTGTCCAGGCTATACCGATCAGCAGCCGACACTAGGGGTTGCGCCCTAGTGATGCTAAACTTTACCGTTAGCTTGGTATTCTCACAAATGCCCCAAGATTAGCACATGTGGCTGGACGGTGTGTCGCAACAATATAGGCCCCCTGCGGGACTACGCAGAGACCTGTCACACATAAAAGGTATTTACCAGTCCTCTGTGGGACAACACAGAGACACACGGCAACCTCTCCACGTTTACAAAACAGAATCACCGCCAGACTCACAAGGTCGTGACTTCCCTACTTGATCAGAGCAAGGAAGCCCCACATCGTGGTGACACCTCCCGAATAAAACCATTTGCGACTCCTCAAAGATTTCCAACAGTGGCCAAGCAACAACATGGTCCTTCTCGTCAGACTTTATCGTTCCAACCCAACTTACCATGCCATCAAATCTAGTAACCACCCTTCATACGAGGGAGGTCTCATTCCATACGTCTCCCAGCCATCCTTCTCTCTCAAGGATGAACTTCCTTAGGACCTCTTTATTCACGCATCTCCCTTCTTGAAAGACGAGTCTTCCAACATGCAATGGGCTGCCTTCTCAAAAAGACAGGCCCCTTTACCACAACACAACTCACACTGGAGAGACCAACTTATGGGTCCTCACCATAACTCAACAATATACATCTGGCATGGCAAGCATCTGAGTCTCAAGGACTCAAAAATCCTTTAGGATTCTTATACTTTCACAAGGACATACTGCGCTTCCTCTCCTTATACCCGGCTCTGTTACCTGCCCATGGGAAGATCGCACAAGTATACCGAAGAGTAGGCAGTTCACATACATTCCACTCGCAAGATGCACAACATTCAACTGCTCTTCATACATCTTTCACATAAAAACCATCATACATCAGGATAAAACCACACATGTGAGAGCGAGCGTGATCGTCACGTACAAGAGGTAAACTCCAACATTACTCAACTCAGACATATACTCAGGGATGAGACATCTCATCCTAAAATACACAAGGAATAATCTCGTCTCATGACCCATACAAAACAACTCATGTCACTCCGAATATAGTACATGGCCAACTGTACAAGAGAGTCCTCAAAACAACTCAGCATCCTATTGTTACTTAGTGTACACACCCTATCTTACATGATCCCAGTCTCAGTGGCCATCCTATGTTGTAGTCCCCATCTATACACTCAACTCATAGGTTTCTACCTGCTCAAGCAATGGTAGGGCCAACAGAAAAGCAGCTACCTCTACTCAGGTGAACCAGTCCCTACTCACTCATCTCCTCCTGGTTCTGCCTGTACAATTGAGCTCTACCTCCATCGGCGGATCGCTCTACTATCCTACCTTGTCTATCATACATCTTCCCACCACTTTTCGAGACCTTTCCTTCTGCCAGATCCTTCAGAAACTTGGGACACTGCAGAGCCCGGTGTTCCCCCTTCGCACAGAAGAAACAGGTCGAGTCAAATGACTTTCTCGGCCTCTTCTTCTTTCACTGGGGCCCAGGTGATGATGGAGCCTCACTGGCCTCTCTCCCCAACTCATAACTCTGAGGCCTGTCCATGGGTTCCTCCGGTCCAGTCTCCAATTCTCGAGGACTAGGCCCTGATCGCGTCCCAACATCCTCTGGCATATACTCAGGAGTGTCCAACCTCTGGGGCCTGCCTTCGATGATGTCTTCCAGCGCCTCTCCCATCTCACTCTCAGGAGGTTCCTCTATCCTTGACTCTGGCGAAAATAAGCTCGCGCCCTCCTACATAGTGTGGACCGCTTCCAGCAGCACATCCATAGATCCTCCTGTTGAGCCCTGGACTGGCTCGCCGCTGGCTGTCGGTAGTCCCTCCTCAACTGAAGGTGGCATGGTAGGGTCCGCTGTTGCCGTGGGCAGCATAGCGAGCTCCGTAGGAGCTCTGAACTCGAAGGTTTCCCTCTCTGCTTCCCTCTTGGCCTCTGCCTCCTTAGGCTCCAAAATTACCCTCCCCATTGGTGCTTCCCGCCGAGGATCAGCCGTGGATGGCCACTCTGATAAGTCACGTCCTGGCTGCCTCTGCTCTCCCTGCCTGCTGCTTTTTGCCCCATCCACGCCGCTTCCACGTTGCTGCCTCAAATCTTGAATAATGGCGGCCTGACTAGCCACCAAAGTTCTGAGTTCGCGGGCCTCTGCCTCGACGGCCTCCATTTGTGCCTCAATTCCTGTCTCTCTCAACTCCTTTCCTCTCAGATTTGCCTCCAACATCATGTATCTGTTGAAGGAGGTCTTGGATACGGAGCGGATCCTCCGGTCCAAGTACTCATCTGCCTTCCTTGAGGTCTCGATTTCTGCCCTATCCGGAGCCGTTAAACCCTTGCCGTACTGCTCCAAGAACTCTTCCCACATCTCCCTGAGTCCATACGGCCTATAGGGCGGGGGTGGATCTGGGAGCGCACCTGCCTCTTCCAATCTCTGCCTCTCCTGCCCAATCTCCTCCCAGCATCTCTCCACTCTGACCCTCTTTTCCTCAACTGTTTCCCCTGCGGGTACTCTCTCCTCTGTGCGGCGATCAGCCTCCTCTGGGACCCCTGCTCCCACCTCTCTCTCGGCCTGACATGGCTCCTGAGGCGACTCCACAGGCATGGGCTCCTCCAGATCAGGATGCTCCAAGGCATGAGCGGCCAGGTGACTATCGATCAAGGTGTCTGCCTCTCTTCTCCGACTGGCTCTCTCAGTCTCTCCTTCCTCCGTTCCCCCTGGCGATGGGACTGTCTCTGGCAATGCTGGTGGGTCCTCCTTTTGTGATTCCTCTCCCCTGCTTGGTGCGTTTTTCGACGGGCTCCCAAGCCTTAGGCCCACAGCTGGCGTCTGAGGGGGAGTATCCTCCTCAACCTCTATGACCTCACCCTCAGCCCGGCCTCCCAGAGTACTTGGTCCCTCCTCATGTTCAGGGTCCGGAACTTCTCCTCGCAGCACCTCGTCAACTGGCTCAACGCGCCTCTCACTCATCGGCGGCTCTCTCCACTGGGAGACGTCCAAATGTGCTTCCAGTTCCTGCAACGGCCCTCCAGATGCCGGTGTCTCCTCCTGTGGATGCAGTGGAGATCCTCTCAGCCCCCCTTCAGTAACCTGATGAACTTCCACTGGGCCCAATCCGCATTCAGGGTATGCCCCTCGCCCCTCAATCTCAGGTACCGCCTCTCCCTCTCGTCTGGCAAGTGCCTTCCGTCCCCTTCGTGACGGTCTGGCCTCAGTGGGCTCGGGGTCCCTCTGCCTCCCACTTCTCAGGCGTCTCTCAACCCTGGGCTGAGGCGGCTCTGGCCGTCAGAATGCCGCCCTCAAATGCGCCCTGCAGCCATCCCAATCTTGGGCCATGTCCCTGATCTGCCTGGCTAGGGGTCTCTCCGCCTTCCGGGTCCATAGGGGTAATATCACCATCCACTCCTCCCGCAAAATGCCCTGATCATGCATGAACTACTCGAATGCGGGGATGGACTCCTCTGCATTCCCAATCTCCAAGCGAATAGGCCTGCCATCAGGCCCCACAGGTGATGGTCGCAGCTCCTGCATTCTCGCCTCCACCTCTGACCTCGTCCTTGCCTCCCTACGGATCTGTGCAATAGGCTCAACGAATCTGCCAACGCCCCTTAGCCTCTCAATCGTCTGGGTCACGGTCCATCCCATATGATCAGTATATCCCCAGAACTCGTCCAGGAATAACTCAATATCCCCGTCGTCGTATACTGGCGTGCTCACTCGGTGGTAAGGCCTATGTCGCGCGTATCCTCCTGAAGCTCCCAACGGCCTCCGCGGCGGCCGTGTCCCCCTCCCTCCTCTTGGCATGGCTGTCTTCGCAAAGTCAGACCTGCACAACAGGCACACGCCGGGGTAAGCAAACAGGCGACAATGAGGCGGACTCAGGCCAAACCAAGCACATGCATCAGGCAATCCCTCTAGCCTGCCAGCCCGTCTATCCTATTCTAAGGGGGTTGGGTCGTCTATCTCACCTCTTCTCTTGCCACAAACTTCTTCAGTCGTGTCCCTGACACCCAGTCTTTCCACTCGGTCCCATTCAATTCTTCAATCTGATACGCGCCAAACTCTCCGCATCGCACGATCCGGTAGGGACCTAACCATCTCTTGTCAAGCTTCCGGGGCCAGTGCTTTTCCAAGGATGAATCATATAGGAGTACGATATCCCCGACTGCTAGGGGTACCTTCCTTACACGAGCCGACTGGTCCCAGCGAACCTTGTCATCCATCCGACTTCTCTCCACCTGGTCGGACTCTTCCTGGACCCTTTCCTCAATCGCACCCACCTGCCGGGCTCGAATGTCGAGCAACTCTTCGAAAAACAGATTGACCTCCAAATCCTGACGCCTCCAAGTCTTCAGGAAGCTCTCGATTGGGAAGGTAGCGTGTCTTCCATACCATAGCGTGGCCGATGCGTACTTAGTGGTCCTTTTCACCGTAATATTCTCGACGAAGAAGGCTGCCCTTAGATATCTTGGCCACTGACTGGGTTTCCCTTCAGCCCATTTGGCCAGCAGAGTCGTAATGGTACTGTGCCCTCTTTCTACTGGAGCATTCGCCTGGGGGTGTGCGGCCGTGGTGTAGTTAGCTACCACCCCATACCATGACAACAATTCTTGCACCTCCTGGCAGGTGAATTCCGATCCCCTGTCCATCACGAACTCTCTGACGAAAGGATAGCGCAGGTAATACTCCTCCATGCAACTAACCAGGACTGGCCCCGTCTTCGCGCGGATGGCCCGTCCATCTACGAAGCCAAATAGGTTGTCGCGCGCATCGAAGATGTAGTTGTAGCCATGATCTTCGAGGGGCATGAATAACCAGTCGAGGTGCACTACGGGCCCTACTTCCCTCTCTAGCCTTGGATGCAGCGACTCTCTAGGCCTCAGACGAGACTGCTCTTGGCAGGGTACGCAGGATCGACAAAACTTACCAACCATCTCCATCATCCCGTCCCAATAATACAACTCACTTATTTTAGCATACGTGGCAGTAATCCCTCGATGCCCCTCCCGCAATGCCATCATGAAGCGCAGCAATGACGTCGATCTAGCGGTTCCTGCCACATACAACTCTCCTTGGATTCCCTACCTGCCTCCTTACGAAGAGATGACCGTCCCTCACCAAGTAGCAATCCCTCATCCTTTGAGCCCTATCGCTTGCATCCCTGTCTCGCATCTCGCAGGACAGGAGAAGCCCTAGCTCCAGATAGATCCCATCGTACTCCTCCGCGCGGAATGCCTCTTTGATCTCTCCCTCTTCAAACTCGTCATCCTGGCTTTCCGGTATAGTATCTCCCTTCTCAGCCGGATTTAGCGAGCTTTCTAAGTCAAAAGATTCCTGCAGGAGTGTATTGACGAGGAGGTACATCCCTCCAGTCAGTTCCTCGTGCCTCCTTACCCGGTCTGGGCCTTCCTCTATCGACGTTACCGCTTCCACCAGACAATGGTAACCTGCGAGCGCCAGCTTTGCCATCCATTGGACATCCTTACTACCCCAAGGGTCTTCTTCTTCAAACGGTTTGAGCACCAGCTCAGCCTTCCGCTCATACCCCTTTGGCGCATGCCAAATGGGGTGACCAACGCAGCTAGGAACTCGCGGGAACCACTTATTGATGTGTAGGCGGATGTCTTCTTCCTGGTCCAGAAAGCCATCAACTGGGGGCGTATCTTCTATTGCTTCCCCTTCCTGCTTGTCCCAGTTGATGCGACTTAACCCATCTGCTCAGTTCTTACTCCCTGGACTTCGCTCCAACTCAAAGTTGAACATCTAGATGTACGTCAACCATCTGGCGACTGTCGGATCGGATGGAACATAGTTTCTCAGGGAGAAAGCTAGAGCCGTTGGATCCACCCTTAGTATGAACCTCCTGCCAAAGATGTAGTTTAGGAAGATCCGCAGGCAATGAAGGACAGCGAAAGTTTCCCTTTTGAATTGAGAGTAGTTCCTCTCCGTTGTACATAGAGTCCGACTCTCAAAATGCAGCGGCCTCTCCTTTCCTTCAATGTCTGCCTGAATTAGAACTCCACCCAACGCATTTGGTCCTGCATCCGTCTCCACAATAAACGGCCTCGCCTCGGTGGCGTCATAGTCTGGCGCCCCCAATACCAATCCTCCTTCTCGAAATTCCTCTTTCATTCCCGCCACAACCTTCTCCTGGTCCTCACCCCAAATCCACTCCTGATCCTGACGAACCAGCTTCCTCAACTGCTCCGTCTTGACAGCAAAGTTCTTGACGAAGGTTTGCCAGAAGCCACACGTGCCAAGGAAACTTCTAACATCTGTTATTGATTGAAAGGGCACCGGCCACTCGTCTATTTTATGTTTTCTTAACATCCGGCCGCCGACCACTCTCATTGCAAACAAATCCCAGGATGGTGGCTTCCCTCATGCAGTGCTTCGACTTGGCACCACTAGCCGTAAGGTTGTACTCCTCAAGCAGGCCCAGGACTTTGTCGAGGTCCTGAACATGCTTCCAGACAAAACGCCTTACTCCTGGCAGGACTTCATCGTTTTCCCTCCTTCTCGGACCTTTTACTGCCAAGTCATCAATATACGGCTGCGTGATATGCGGGCTGACTGTCTGCATGACCCGAATCATGTGCCTCCGGACCATCGCCACAGCATTCGTCCACCCTTGTGGAGCCACATTCATATGGATGAGTCCTCGAGGCGTATGCATGGCTGTCACTGGTCGGTCTGCCGCTCGCGCCTGCGCCTGTGCCATAGCAGGGTCCATCCTCCCCTTGGGAAGCCTATAGACCAACTCCATTTCTCCCACCTGGGGATATTCCAAGACTTGTTCCCTCAACGTCTGAATGGCGTCTAGATCAGCCATTTCATGCGTAGCCACTATATCCATGGCTTTGTTGACGTCTGCTAGGCTGAGTGAGAACGCCTCTCCTCCTACTTCCTCCTCGGGCTCTGCCATAAGCCTTCGATGTTCCTCTTCTGACTCCTCTATCGTGAAGGAGCCGGGGTTGGGCCTATTCCTAAGGCTCCTTGGTCTCGTGTTCCTGCAGGTAATTACTTCGTAATTCCCGCACGATGGATCACATAAGATCAGGATTAATGACCCATCATGCTTGTTATACATCAGGGTCTCCGTCCTGCACAAGAAGGACCTTCCTAGGAGAATGCTATGGTCCACGTCCGACATTACGAAGAAACAAGCCCTTGAATTTACCCTACCGATCTCCAATAACACATTTGAGGCGGTTCCACAAAATAAGGCCTTGTTATTGGCCCCATGCAGAATGCCACAATCCGATCGGTCTATCTCCAATCCAAACTTGATGGCATCGGCCTCCCGGATGATATTCATTTCAACGCCTGTATCTACCATGGCAGCGCATTTGGAACGTTTTACTGCTAGGTCCACCATACCACATGCTACACACTTCTAGTCCATCTTTGTTCCCGGCTCTGCCCACTCCATCTCCTTAGGCAGGATCACACTGAGGTGGACGTTCGGCACTAGACGCCTTGACAACCTACCCTTCAGCTCATTACGGAGCCTTGGGGCGGACGCTAGGATCTCCTTGAGGGTCATCAGGTCGTTGTGGCCTTCAAGTAGTCTGTCAATTACCCGTTTCACATCGAACCCTTCCTCTAACCGGACTGCATACTTCTTTTTCTTGGGCGGTACGTCGTGCAAGACCGGTTCAGCTTCCTCTCGACTCTCTCTCTTTCTGGCCCTTTGTTCCGCCCTCTGGTCCTCTTCCTGACGCAGTCTCTCATCCTCTTCTTCATCCTCGTCATCATCCTCCACCTCCACTGTTTCCTTCCTCTTTCCCGGCTCAGGCTCCTTTCGAGGAGGTTCTTGACTTGCAATGGCTTTGGCCTGACCTCGAGTACGGGCGGCCTGTGCCAGTCTCCCTTGTGGCGTAGGAGGTCTGGTCATCATCCCAGATCGAGGGCCTGATCCCACCGTAGCCACTCCAGGTCGCCCTAGCATGGATTCCGGGCCAGAATCATAAAGGAAGACTTTGGGGAGGTTGGCCCTCCATTCCTTCACTTCTTCGCAGAGGCCTACAAACATCCGCTAGTATCTCCCTACCTTGTCCAGCAAGTCTTCCATCTTCCCCAGTAGGAGTGCCGCCGGTTCTGCCTTTTCCTCTTCCCTTTCATCGTCTGATTCGATGACTATGGTTTCCTCCCTTATATCCCCTGCCCGTAGTCTCTGGGTCACTTCTTCGTCACTTCCAACTTCCTCTATTCCAATCGGCAGTTCTTCTCTCTCCTGCCATACCCTGAATGTGGCAGGAGGTGGTTGTCGGGCTGCCAACCTTCGTTGGGCCTCCGCCCTTACTCCGCCAGCCTTCCTGTCAATAAACTCTCTGAATTGATCATAGATGTCTCCGTCCATGTTAGAGTAGATCAGCCCCTTCCTTTCGTCTTCCCGCCTTATGTTGCAGAACCTTATGGTGTGACCTTGCTGGTCACAATGCTGACATATAGCGGTCCTCCAATCAAAGCGGGCTCTGCCGCCGCCCTGATTCCCTTGGCTACCTTGGCTGCCCTGATTACCCTGGTTACCCTGGTTACCTGGACTTCCCTGGCCCTGGTAGCCTTGATTACCCCATTGACCCCCTTGGCCACCGTCGTTCCTGCTGCGTCCTCTTCCACTGCCTCTTCCTCCATTCCCCTGGTTCCCGTGGCCTTGATTGCCCCCAGCCACCACATTTCCTTGTGAACTTTGAGTAGGCGCTGGGGGTGGCACCGAGGGTGGAGCTTGGGCGGTGGGGTAGCTTGGAGGCGGCATACTCGATTGGGGCCCAGCGTAGGGTATTACCGGTCCAGAAGGCGCCGGCCCTCCCCAAGGTACATACGTGTTGATTACGGGCCATGGCCACTGCCCGAACGGGGGAACTGGCGCTTGTGATGGGCCCGCACGCACCTCTTGAGGGTGCCGACATACTTGGGGATGCAGCTGCCATGGCTTGGGGTACCTGCCCCTTCCCAGAACCTTGCCCGCCTTGGGCTAGATTGCGCTGCTTGCGCTGCACCTTCGTGAGATGCGGGGGTACCGGCTCCTCTTCTTCCCACCCTTCCTGGGCCGCCTCCTCTACCACGGCTTCCTTGGCCTTTCCTTGGACTGCCGTTGTCACCTTCCTTTGTATTACCGAGTCCAACTCCGTTAGTACTTCGGTGATAATCTTTTTCACTCTCGGTGTCCCGGACGCTGAGGCGTCCCTTTCTTTCGTTTCCTGCCTTTGTAGGTGCACCTGGTGCTGCTCCACCTGGTCTAGGCTCCCATCCTCCACCCCTTTGTCGATGGTAGCCCAGGTGAGTTTCGCGTTTCCTCCCCCATGGCTCGTTAGCTCAGAGGCCTCTGGCGCGGTGAGCAGTCCCAGGAAGATGGCGCACTGCGCCTCCTCTGATATCCCATGAACTTTCCTCGCCCTTTTCTTGAACTCCTGCAAGAAGGCTCCAATGGTGGTGAAGTCATCTTTGTTCATGGCCTCCAAGTCTGCCGTGGTCAGCAGGCCGTCTCCCAGCCTGTACTTCCTCTGCATTCCCTCCCTGAACTTGGCCCAATTGCCGTTGGCGTCGTCGACCACCGGTCGAACCTCCTGATGATGCCCATGAAGTACATACTTCATGATCCGTTGGAACTTTACCGTATCCGTCAATCCCACTAGTGCTTGTTCAACCAAGTCCAACCAGTCGGACACTCGTTCTCCTTTGAAGTGAAAGGTGTCAACTTTGGGGACATTACTTGGCGTTCTCTCCCGCTTGTCCATCGCCTCGATGAGATCGTCGAGGGTCAGGACCTTTCCTGAACTGTCGCCTATGCCTCCTGACATTCTGGCAGTTCGTTCTCCACTCAACTTTCCTGTTACAAAACAAGGTAAGAACCAAACTTCACTCAGCACTTTAACCCATCGCTACCCCATCGAACTAACCTCTTATCCCCCCAGACTTCTTTAGACTCAGCCGACGCTACCATTCTCTTAATTCCTTGACTTCATCTCATAGGGCTTATTCTCCCTATAAGCCTTCCGCATAATCATTCTAGTCACACATATAATCATACAATCCTTGTACAGTCCTACTTATAAACTTACTTCATGTCTTCCTATTCATACCTGATTTTCTCCTTACTTTAATACCCGGATGTCGTTCCACCACGGACAACGGCAGGCAATCCGTTATCCCCGACAACAGCGCCACCTGTGAGCACATCGGTCCGACACCACTCATGGGTAGCGCGGGACCCTCTCGGCCGCGTCACGCAGGAGTTGGACACTTAGTCCTCATTGCGATACATACATGGAGCTTCTGCAAGCCACTCTGGCCAAGTGCGCCAGCCATACCTCTCGCAAGCCCCTACGACAGGGCAGGGCCTACGCGAGGCACGACTTACCTCCACCTTACGGGAGCTGTCACCTCCCTTCGGTGGGCGTATCCCCGCCAAGCTACAAGTCCACAGTACGAAAGCTAATCAGTTGCAATCGCAGAGGTGGACCAGCCGAGGGTGTTTCTCGTTCGCTGTAGCATAGCGGGTACACGCGGTAGTACACCTCTATCGGACCCTGCACGCGAACCGGCATCTTGGGGGGCTGAAGTCCCAAGTGCGACTCGGCGCCGGTCGACTAGAACGCATCCCATACACCACGCGCACACCACTATAAAGACATCAAAATAAAAAAACACACCCATACGCACGTACATATATACATAGGACGACACTGAACGAACCACGCGACAACTCTCCTAGTCCCTTAGTAATCATCCCATAACTCTCTGATGCRGAAATCGGATAAGCGTCACGCGCGAGACTTGGTATAAACCCGCACGGGCGCAGGGCCTTCTTATATCGATCTGCAATGCCAAAGTACGCAAACAGTCGCGAAGATGGTGTACTATGTAGTACCCACAATCATGGGGTCCTGGGTAATACACGAGGGCCACCTTCGACACTCAAGTGTCGGCTGACACGCGCTCTAAGGGGTTAATCTCTCGGCGCTAGACAACCGCAATGCGTGGTTGAAGGCCACACACCCTCTTCTGCACCCTATGCAGAGCGGGTGGTACACAGGTCCATACCCGTGGTGGCAGCTGTTTCTTGCTGCCCCGGAGATGAGCCCCACTCCGGGCCCGGACACGAGTCAAGGGGTTTGACTTTGACGGTTGCCACGGACTACAACGTACAACCATAATAATCCTAAAAAGCAAATGTAGGCCGAGGGCCTCCCTGCCTCGAAATCACGAACTTGCGTACCCCCGCTTTTCCTGCGGTTGGCACCATGGCCTATGCCGCTGCCGAACACTTAGGCTTACGGATGAATCCATCGATCCCATAACTGTAAGCGCTAGGACGGCGAGACGTCGCGCGCAGGACTTTGGTATAAAGTTGCACGGCCGCAGGCCTGCCCTATACCAACCAGCAATGCTAGTCATACGCGGTGATCGCAGTCTCGGCCTCGCGATATTGAATGGCTGAAGGAACATATCGCGGGGGGGTTACCCCTCACGATATTGAACGGCTGAAGGACATGCCGTTCCGCCCCCGCGGCATCTCTGCCCTCTGGGTTGGGTGTCTTGGCGGTTGGGTGTCTTGGCGGGCAGCGCAGATAGGCTCCGCGCGGGGGAAGGCTCCTACCCCGCAGGCCTCGGGCTTGGGATGTCCTGGGCAAGGACCTTGAATCCCGGCCCAAGAYCAACGTCCGACTAAAAACTCAAAAGAAGTAGACAATCAAGAGRTGGGGATTCCTGCCTACCTCACCCCTACTTAACCCACAATATGCTGGCCCCTTGGGCCATGTGAACTTCTAACATAGGTACACACACACATATATATACAAGGGATAAGTATGTGACGATCATTTCTCACAATCACAGTGGAGCTCCTCACAGCCATACGTATATGTGGGATCGCAGGCAACCAAATCCAAAATCCGAGCCACAAAACATACCTGCAATCACATCAAAAGTCCAACAAAGTCCATGCACTACACGGAGTCAACCCCAACCACTCTCCATACTCATACCTCTCGCTTTAGCCATGCAAGCCCCAGCCTCCAGCCAACCAACCATAATTAAATACTGAGTACCTTTGTTAAATGGCCATTCAAGAAAAGCCCGGGTGAAACCTTAACAAAACAATAAAATCACCAGGGCTAAAGCCTTTTCAGGTTGAGTATGGAGGGCGAGTTGGAATTGAGTCGTAAACCGACGGATCGGCAACCGACCTCTTATCAGTGATAATAGAAGCTGATCCTTGCAAGATCAAAGCTGAATCTAGCCCCAAGTCCTGAATCAATCGATCAAGGAGACCTGTAACACAAAACAGGCCAATCTTAAGCTAAGTCTATGAGCTCATGGAGAATAATCTCTATGCCACAATCTTACTCAGGTCATCATACTTAACTAGGTCTAAGTCTACCTCTAGCCAGTGCCCACGCAAAGGTAGATTATGGCATAGTCCCTCCTACATACGTCGCCATCTGTCACAATATAAGCTAATTCCTCTTATTTAGGAAAATTTCGGCAGCGCTTCCCGTAGGAAACTGCCATCACAGAAAATATACTAGCCCAAAAGTCCAACCTTTGGATTCCAGAACGTCCAAATCTGTCCAACTCCCTGACTTAGCAAAAATTTGGGCGGCACTTCCTTTAGGGAGGAAAGTTTCCCGGATTTATACCAAGTCAGATTTGAACTTAGACACAAAGCATACGCTCTGTTAAGACAGAATCTCAATCAACCCCTTAAATTTGTAGAAATTTCGGCAACGCTTCCCGTAGAGAAAGTGTTAGTCCAAAATTTATACAAAGCTAAGTTTAGAATCTGAAATGACTTTGACCCTTCAGGGTCCAATTTTGTCTAACTCCCTGAATTTGTAAAAATTGGGCAGCACTTCCTTTGGAAAAGGGGCTTCCCAGATTCTTACTAAGTAAAAAAGGTCATCAAGACTGGATCCTGAAGACCAAAGTTTTAACTAACTCCTTGGTTTTGTAGAAATTTCGGCAACACTTCCCGTAGAGAAAGTGGCTTACCAAGATTTATACAAGACCAAGTATAAATAAAGGATTCCAGAAAATGCAGAAATTGATCTAAGTAAAAACAAAATGAGCTAAAAAAATGCAGGAATTGAAGCTAACTCCTATGGCTCTAGCACGTGGCGAGCAACTACAACAACTACCTATCAACTTGAACTCAGACTAAGGAGTGGCATCACTCAGTCACATGCAGGCCAACCCACAACAGTAAGCGCTCTTACCATCCCCAAGTTAACTTAGCAAACAATAGTTCAWAGTCTTTCAGTGCTTTATTCCCTTGTACCCAGCTTACATAGGGCATAAGGCTAGACCACCCAAACTTATGGAACATGTCTAGCCCAACCAAGAAGTATGCACAGACAAAGGGCGCAACAACTTTTCTCTTCTTTGGGCACGTGACTAGGTCATCCTAGTCGCCCTGAACTGTTTAAATATCCAAGATTTATATAGTTGTCTGCACTTAGTCTTTTGAGGTAGCATATAGCTGAGCCGATCATCTTCAACTCAAGACTCAGCCTGCCCCTTCGTACCACAAATTGATTCTTAGTCAAGTACTTTCTTCAGTTGGTGATAGGCTATAATCAGATCACCCAAACTTATGGAACCCTGTCTAACTAGCCTGTTCATAGGTAGTATAATAATAGAGTATATCAAAATTATAACCTTCTGGTTCCAGCATGTGCGAGGCAATAGACCAAGACCACCCAAACTTATGGAACATGTCTTGGTCCTCAGTCTGGTTTATTTCCCCCAAAGCCAAAGCAGGAAGAGGTTGAGCCCCCCAAACTTATGGAACATGCTCACCTCCTCGTTCCGAAACTAAAGAAACTGTCAGAAACCCAGATAAACAAGGCCGCCAGACTACCCAAACTTATGGATTTGACTGGCTCCTGAAAAAGCAGTCACATTCAGCCCTCACAAGTCAGAGCAACCAGACCACCCAAACTTATGGAACCTGTCTGGTTCTCCAGGCAATACAATATAAAACATAGCACTGGACCTTCCCAAACTTATGGAACTAGCCCAGCCCTTGGTTGACTCGACCAAGCTTCATGCAATACTATCTTTCCCCCACCCTTCCCCCAGATGCAACCCCACAACCTGCTTTCAATCAGGCAAAGAAGCAGAAACTTTGACATTATACATGCATTCTTTTACTTAGTCTGGTTATGTCCTGAAGAGAAAGCAAGAATTATAGGGACAGGCATGCATACATCAATCAAATCATAGGGGGATATGCAAACATGGGTGTAGTGGAGTGTACAGATAGAGATGGATTACCTGATGGTTCCCTGCCTCCAGAACCCCGCCTAGGTTCCGGCAGAGCTCCTGCAATCGGTGGGATGACTCTCCACAGAGTCTTGATGCAGACCTACGGGTTGCAATCTCACCTGCGCCTTCCTCTCGTAACCAATAGACTAGACTTAGAGTTAGAAGGGCAGATAGAGAAAATTTTGAGACTATCAGATCCAAGAATGGTGCTCTCAAACTCGCAAGAGAGGGCGTTGTTATCTTGGTTCGCCTGAGGGCCCCGCAATGGTGGTCTACTGATAGTTTGGTCAAAGAAGGCAGCTCGCCGAAGTAACCTCTCCCGACGAGCCTCCAACTAGCGCACCAAGCCCCCTCCCTAAGTCCGACTACTCCTCTAAGCCTAACTGTAGCCGCCCAACACCCTGTAGCAGAAGCAGCACTCAACGGTGGTCCACAATCACAACAACAGTCCCCAACAACCTCGGTCTGCAATAGTCCTTACATGCAACCGGAGTGTGGCTAGCAGTAACAGCAGTACGCAACGGTCACCCGCAGCAGCATCCAGCGGCGGCCAGCAGCAACAGCTGCCGCATACAGCGGCCAACCATAGACAG